AACGCCAGTTGATCTAAACGCCAGTAGATCTGGAACACCGTCGCCAAGAGCAAGGCGTTAACTTTCGTTTTAATTTACATCTCTTTCCAGCCTGAATTTTGTGAAAACTGCGGAGAAAATCCACATCAAATGAATCTTCCATTTTCTTTAATGTAAAAACTTAATTATTGTTTATTCCACAGTAAAACACTCGCTGGAGTATCTCGTCACTGCAGCCTCTGGAGTCCCAAACATCCCAGAGTTTACGGGTGCTATTATGCTTGACGGCATCCAAATGGCTTACTGTGAGAGCATCAACAAGATATTGGAGCCAAGACTGGACTGGGTGAAGAAAATGTTAGCAAACGACACTTGGCTGTTGGAGATGTATACTCGACAGTGCTTTGTGGTTCAGCCCAAAATATTTGGAAACCATATTTCAAGTCTGAAGGAGCAGTTCCAGAGTGAAGGTCCAGTATACACATTCAGCTTGACACACAGTGTCAGATGATTACAAGTTAAGGGATATACCAAATCAATTAAGCCAGAAAAAAAGTTATAAAATTACAAAAATTAGTGTAATTACTAAGATTTTCAAAATTAATTTGTGTTTTTCAACTGAGATCATGAGTCATAAACCTTACTAGTGTGAGCATCCCTTTAAAAAGGATGACAAATGGACTAGTTCATATATAGGGCTTTTCTACTCAATGTGAACACCCAAAGTGCTTTACACAACTTTCCCCATTCACACAAGCACTTTTTTCTTTGTTGTTTCTAAGTGCTTTCCATCTAACATTCACATGTATTCATACTCTAATGGGTGCATCAGAGAGAAACATGGGGTTAGCATCTTGCTCAAGGATAGTTGGAATGTAGCCAGGAGCAGACAGGGCTCTAACCACCAACCTTCCGGTGGGTAGGTGACGTGCTCTACCACCTGAGCAAAGGCCACGTCAAGCATATGATGGCGTAATCACAGCCGGATTGGCTTCATCATGGTGGTGCCAAGATGTTTGGTGTTAAACTCTAAATAATTAGATCTTGCTTGGGCAAACAAATAAATAAAGATTGACTTTTACAACAGACAAAAATGGCAAAGATGAAGAAAGTGGAAAAAGATTTGAAGGAGATTAAGCATTCACTTAACTCACTGACAACTGAAATTGAAAAGATAAATAAGCAACAAGGAATACTAATGTCGATGATAGACCAAATCAAAGAATTAAAAAACCTGATTAAGGAGAAAGACAAGACAATCTAGTTTTTGGAAAGAAGGGTGGACAATCTAGAACAGCAGACTTGACTTGAGGATGTGATTATTATGGGTCTGGAAACCAAACATGGGAGTTATGCGAGAGTCACCGAGTCTGGGACCAGTGCAAAAAGAGGTGAAGATGAGCCCGCAATGGAGGAGCTACAGTCGTTGCAACGGCAAGTTGTGGAATTCTTTTCGAATAAAAAACTTACCTTGCATAGTAATGATATATCTGCATGCTTTACCCTTCCCAGAAGACACACTAAGGCTTCTCCAGCAATTATAGTGAAATTTATAAACCGAACACACAAAGTTGACTTGCTGAGGCAGTCCAGCCTAGGGCGATTGTGGCTCAAGAGTTGGCAGTTTGTCTTGTAATCAGAAGGTTGCCGGTTTGAGCCCCGGCTCGGACAGTCTTGGTCATTGTGTCCTTGGGCAAGACACTTCACCTACTGGTGATGACCGGAGTGGCCGATGGTGCGATATGGCAGCCTCGCTATGTCAGTCTGCTCCAGGGCAGCTGTGGCTACAACTGTAGCTTGCCTCCACCAGTGTGTGAATGTGAGATTGAATGAATAGTGGAATTGCAAAGTGCTTTGAGGGTCCCGAAAAGCGCTATATAAATGCAATCCATTATTATTGAGAGGAAGCGGTGTATATTTGAATGAACATCTTACAAAAAGAAATGCAGATATTGCTAGACAAGCTCGCATATTACGAAAGGAGAAAAAGATTCAAGCAACCTGGACCAGGAACTGTAAAGTGATGATTAAACTTAATGGAACACCAGAAGAAGCCAAGGTTATAACGATTAAGGATCTTAAGGAATTTGGCCTTGTATGATAAACATTGTCCATTGGTACCATTTAAGTATAAGAAAAAGAATAAGAATTTGAAACCTTGGATTACTAAGGGTCTTGCAAATGCGTGTAAAAAGAAAAATAAATTATATAGGGATGATATAAAACACAGAACTAAGAATGCGGAAATGAAATATAAAGTTTATAAAAATCAGTTGGTATTAATATTGAGGAAAGCCAAGAAAGACTACTATAATAAACCTTTTCAAGAAAACAAAAACAATATTAAGGGCATTTGGAATATTTTTAAAGAAGTATTGGGTAACAAAAGAACACACCCTCAGATCTGCCTATTTATTTTATTAAGAATAATGAAGTCGTTGATGACAAGATTGAAGTGGCAAATGAATTGAAATCCTTTTTTTGTAAATGTTGGACCTACTTTAGCAAATAGAATTTGGAAAAAATGATGATTCAGAATATTACGAAGTCTGGAAAGGAGAAAGCAGAGTGGTTAATTCTATATTCTTAGCTGATATTGCCATAAAAGAAATAGTAGCAATTGTAGAAAACTTTAATCATCTACTGACTGTGATGGTATAGACATGGTCATAATTAAAAAAGACATTAGATTGTGTAATTATTCCTCTTCGCTATATTTTTAATCTCTCGTTACATTCAGGAGTATTTCCCGATTGAATGAAAATTGCAAAAGTGATACCCTTATATAAATCAGGTGATTTTAACATTAATGTAGATGCTAAAACGACAGTCTCAACACATCATTTAATCTGTTATTAGACTCAATTGG